TACATTTATATAAAATATACAACTGTAATTTCTTGTAATCGTATATTTTGATTACAGGTAATCACCATTACTTGTAATCACGATTACATGTAACCATATATTTTAATTACTTATAATTATAATTAACCATAATCGTTCGGCATCGCTGGGCCCATGTCTGAGAGTTCGTGGGTTCGAACCCAGCCGGTCGAAGACTCCCGGTGTAGTAAACGGTGACTGATGCTCGTTAAATTTGTCGAGTCGCAAAGTCCTCCATGTTCCCATAACAAATCAAAATCTCTGGAGGTACTGGATCGGAGATTGATCGTTCTCTGATTCAGGTCAAAATTACGATCTGTGGATGAATGAATGGATGTATGAATGGGTCCGCCCTATAAACGGGTGTGACGTATGGGTGTGGCAGAAGTCGAATTCTTGGCCATAGATGGCGCCATGGAAAACAAGAACAACCGCACCCCTCTGACTTAACAGGCATACGTCCATAACAACAACAATCATAATCGTTTCTTGTGGGTTTTTTTTTTTTGGAATCGCAATTACTTGTAATCGCAATTAAAGTTGTAATCAAAATAATGTTGAATTGTAATCAAGATTACAATTAAAAATTTTACTTTTCTCCTTTTCATTATGGTGCAGAATGTCGCAATGGTTTTCTTAAATTTAGAATGTTTAACAGATTTGTGATGCCACAATTGGCATTACATTTATATTTCCTAGTGATTTTATATTTCCTATAAAATATCTTTAATTACTTAAACTTATTTATTTAAAATCATTCTTAACCGAATTATATTTAAAATAAATCAATGAGTTAATCTTTATGAAAGCGGGCATAAAATATTTAATTCTTTTCTTATCGATCAATGTAACGGCTAACTTTTTAATTCAATACTAATGTAGACTCTTAATTCACTGCCGCACCTAATCGAAAACAAAAATCTATTATGATTTGTATATTTTAACTATGGCAATTTTGAATATATCAATATCAATTCTTACTTTAATAAATCAAATTTTTACTTAAACGATTTTATTCATTTTTCTTGAGGCAATACTTCAACCACCACTACAACATTAATAAAAAATTTTCTTCTTCATATAATTGACTGACTGTAAGAAAAAGAAAAAGAAAAAGAAAAAGAAAAATAGTGGTAAAATGTTATTGTCAATGACTGTAAAATGTGAACGGGAAAATACTGTTTAGAGATCAATATTTTCTATGATAGGTTTATCAAAGATAGGCAGTTTAATATGAGTTGGCAAGGAATATTGACTCCCCATAATCTGCAGGATGGTTATCGACAGTTGCAGAAACATTCACTTTTGGATAGAATCAGGGCCCGACTTAGCCTAATAGGGGCCTGTAGCATTGGGGGCCCCTTATTGCTTCACTACTTTAGTAATGAAGAACCGAACTTTATGAAGGTATTTAAATCTTTCATCTCTTTGTAAATAACAAAAATAAAATAAAAATTGATAGCTATAAAGCTCCCCCCCTCCAATGTCAGACGAAATGTTGTTCTGAGTATTCTATGCCGAATGCAATTTTCTGATTGTTAACTTCGTCATCTAATTGTGGAAAATTCATATCCTTGTAGACATTAGAGCGGCATGCAGCTAAAATGTCACAATTACGATGGCTCAATTAAGCCAATCAAAATCTGGTACTTTTGTAAACATATCGCATTGTGCGATGCGTACAAATACAGGCTTTTGATTCTCCAAATTTGTCCATCGTAATAGCGAAAATTTAGCTGAATTCCACTCTAGAAGTTGTTGTAGTTCATTTACGCCGCACTAGAGCTGCGCAATGAGCTATTGGCGACGGTCTGGGAAAAATCCCTGATGAGGATGATCTGAAGACATGCCATCACAATTTTGATCCTCTGCAGAGGGGATTGCACCCCCTCTTTGGTAGCCGAACGACCTGCACGCGAAGTCGAGCACTTTACGATAGAAAAGTTTAACGAGGACCAATACTGCACACCCTCGGTCCCTACGCAGACTGATCCAAGTGGTCACCCACCCGCACACTGACCGCAGTCAGTGATGCTTGACTTCGGTGATCTGCTGGGAGCCGTGTCTTTACGATCAGTCCACGACGGGACTTCCACCCCAGAAAGCCATGGATTTATGAAATACAGATAGTGTTTATATGATAGATTAAAGAAACTGACACAAAACTGACGGAGTTTACATTTATACTGATAATTTGTTTAAAAAAGGTTAATTAAAAAGGGAAATGCAAATTAAATTTTCTATTCGATTTGGGGGCCCCGTCTGAACTGGGGGCCAGGGGCAACTGCCCGTATGCCCCTGCCTTTGCCAGGCTCTGGATAGAATAGTTGAAGATGTTTTTTAGAGGTAATTTGCCCGAGAATGACATTTTTTTTTCAAAATATTTTTTAATTTCAAGTAAATCGGGTGTCTGTATTGTAACACGTCGTATCAGCCGGTTTAAAAATTAATATGACTTCGATATACAGAGCATTCCGTATATATAGCTCTTAACCTGTATTTTTAGAATTTTTTTTTTATCAAAATGAAGTGAATTTGTGTGCTTTGATGGCAATAAGTTAATATTCAAAGAACTGTTATACAAATAATAAGAATATTTAAGAGGAATTTAATGAGTTAAGATGAAGAGGGTAGTTAAGAATATTTAAGGATGTAAATGTAATAGGAATTCAATGAATAGCTAGGAAGGTTAGACTGAAACTATGAAAACCTGCTTGATTGTCAGATGAATCAGGAAAAAGTTCA